GGGGGGGGGGGGGGGGGGGGCTAGTACACAACATCGGCCTTGTCTCGCTCGGCACCAACCGCTCCAAGATCCGCAGGCGCTTTCACTACTTTCGCTTACGAGATTTCGAGGTGTAAGTTTACGCACTTTGTGCCACTGCTGACACCCAGTCACGCGCTACTAAACCCGAAGAAAAAAAGTGTTTTAATTTTCAGGGACGTATCAGTGTTTCTTAGGAAGTTATCGCCAATTATTAAAGATTTGGGAATAAAAGATTCGCATTTAAATTATGAATTCAGGTTAATGTGGAGGACACGAACACCTCCGCTGGTAGAAAAATTATTATTTATTTGACTATGAACGAAGTACTCCTAGGTTGCAAATGAATTTAAACCTCTTGGAGATATTACGCTTGAGGTATATCCGAAGACAATGCACTGAGAGAAAAACCTGAAGTTCGATTTACCATAAGAAAATAGTTGAGGCAGTTTTGGTGAACGATACGATTTTTTTTGTATGCACATAACATTACAGTAACTTCACAAGCGTAATTTTTGGAAATCAAAATGCAGTTAAACTAACCAAAGTTCAAAAGTAACCACGACAAATCTATCGTGAGGAGAACTATAAAATAGTTGCAATGACTACATTCCATTGTAGTAATTACTTCTCCGGCCATAGTTACCGTACCCAATGAAAAATTGTTGAGGACTTTTTGACTATAATTCGGTGGTGATGGAATATAGTGAGAAGAATCATATTTTTCTCCCAGTGTGGGGTTTTTTACACCGGGAGCTCAAGTCGCGCCAAGTATAGCTACACTGTTAGGAATTTTATGAAATTTCGTGGAAGATATTATGGTATATCTCATGAGAGTGACATTCAATCGGATTTAGGGGAAGAAATGGTTATGAAATTTCAAGTTTTAAGAGAATTCACGGAAATTTACGAGTTTTCAGTGGGGGTGAGAGGGAAATTTCACAACTTGATTGAATTTTTGTGGAACATGAATATTCAGAAGAAAATAACGTGAATTTTCGATTTTTCGAAAAGAGGCGTTTGCTTTAGGCCACCGCTTCCTCCATATTGACCAAATTCAATTGAAATTATGAATTCACGTCATTTTGGCTCTAAACATTCCCGTAAATTGTGAAATATCTGTCTCATCCGCTGAAAATTTATGGATTCCCTTGAATGCCACCTAAAACCTAAAATTTCATAACCATTTTCCCCTAAAATCGAATTCAATGTCACTTTTATGAAAATTCCAACCAGTATATTTCCAGATGTCGCAATATTCATCCCTCCACTCTCCCCATTGTTCATGCATGCCGAGTTCGAAGCACTTCTGTATTTACGCAATATTCATTACCATGAGAGATTACGAACTCCAAGAAATGGCTTCCTCGCGGGCTTTCCTCAAATGGGTAATCTCTCTACTGTCGTGTAATGACGACCGGAATACCTGAGCATTGGTACACAACTCCATTGTACTCAACTCGTGGGCCGAAATGACTCCACAAATCGATAGCCATGCTGTTCGAGTTGTTCAGAAGCAACGTAAATCACAAACACTGTGAATTTTTTTCCCCCTGACCTTTTTCAAAGGTCAAATTTCTAATCTCTCGTTGGAGTTGAAGATGAAAAAACATTTCAGAACCACTGGTACTCAATATTCACCCGTTAAATAGTACAGGATGGGTTGGAGGAGTCGATGAAAGCATCTGGTGACTTCGGTGACTATAAGATAGATACAAGAGACATCGGAATGCAATCGCGTCGGTTGGCATTTGACGAGGCTGTCGGCTTTCGACATTTTTTTTTCTTCATTCTCTTCGACTTTTTTTTTCCTCCTTCACCTCCGCTGTATTGGTTATGCCGAGACGCTTGTAATGAGCCGGAGGAATAACGGGATATGTCGATTCACTCATTGAGACACTCATTGATTATTTGCAATTTTCATTGCTTTTTATTCCCTTCACTGGGAGTCATAAATTATGCCGAATGAAAAATCATTTTCACTTGATTCACGACTCTCATTACGAGGTAATTGAAAAACTCGGCATTAAGTGGTTAATTTGTTATTGAAAGCTTATGATTTTAATGGAATTGATATTTTAGTGGTGGAGAGAGATAACAGAGTCGGGAATATTTGCAAATATTTCGAAACACAATTAAACAAGTGTGCAAATACTTTTAACTTGCTGTTTCTGTTCCAATATTTTGTCTTAAGGGGAAACGGAACCCCTGCGTTTATATGAATTTTTAGAATTGTGTTTTCTCCTGCAATTATTATTTTTTATCCATTAAACTACTTCATTGACTCAACAATGTGATAATCGAGTCGATAAAGTAATTTCATAGATAGAAATTAATAATTGTACGAGAAAATACAATTCTAAGATTTGATGGAGACAAAGGGGTTCCGTCTCCCCTTAAGGGGAGGCTACTGCGAGTTTTTAAATTCGTGGACTATTAGGGTGAAATATATCATGCATTGAAGATCGATTATATATGTCTAAAAACGAATAATTAGTGCAGAAATAATTGATTGTTCATTGTTCGTTTGTCCCGCAGACGCTTGAAGTATTGAAAATAGTCCAGGACCTCCAATTTTTGATCTACTGAAGTTTCTTTTCCAAAATTTTTGAAAAAAAAGTGTATAACAGCAATTACGAATTATTTTTTTGAAATTTGACTCCTGCACAAGAGCAATTTCGTTTCTTTTATTAGAAAAATTGTACCATTCATGTAAAATAGCTAGAAAAATAATCCTCAAATCTTTTAAAATGTATGAATAGTGGAATTTTTTATATTAAATAAACCACATTAGGTGTAGGTATTGAATTTCAAAAAACTAGCTCGTAATTATTATTGTATACATTTTTTCAAAAATTAAAAAAAAAATTATGTAGTTGACTACTGTTCTGGACTAAACAATTAATTTGTTTGCACTAATTATTCGTCTTTAGACATATATAATCGATCTTCAATGTCTGAAAAATCTCATTCCAATAGCCCGCGACTTTTAAAACTTATTGTAGTTTCCTCTTAAGAAAAATGTTTCGCGTGATGAATTGAACTTTCATTGAATTATTAGAATACTATTTTATTTCTGATATTCAATCACTCCAAAATAGTAATTAGTGATGGCTAGTTCAAATAGTATATTGCCTATTAGATTACTAATATTAACAGAAATTCCACCTTAAAATAATTAAGGTTTACCCATTTTCATTGAAATTTGAAAAATAATAAAATAATTAAATTACTGACAATATGGAATTGTCAATTGAGTATTGAATAAATAATTCGGAAATTGAATATTTACTTGGTTATTAATTTAATAATTCTAAAATTATTAACCAATTGAATAATTCAAAATTTAACTTTATTTAAAATTTACGATTACGCCAATGTCTCATTAGTTATTGAGAAGACAAAAAATATACATACATACATACACATGGACATGGTCCAAACACATTCAGACTCCTGAATCCAAAGTCATTCTACCGCAAAAACCCGCCAACTTGAATTCTAAAGACGACAATGCTTCCATTCTAAACCAAAAGTTGAATAACCAAATTTTGTCATTCCAATAGCTCTTCAAAATTACGTTCCCTCCGAGAGTTTCATTTTGCTCATCAAGACCTCCATTAATTTTCCCCAGAAAGCCGCACAACGATAAAACCGGAAGTACATCGTAAACAAACATCACTGAAGTGCATTTAAGATGTGCTCATCGGGGCTCCGAGGCACGTTGAATCAGTCAGCGCAAGATTCTCCAAGGTGTAACCCACATTTCAGAAATAGCCAGGAGGCACTCGAGAACTTGGTGAAAAGTCTCGTCATTGCCCAGCAGAAAATTTTTCCATTAATAACTTTCCAACAATTTCTGTATTTGCACTGAACTTCAGAGAGGAAATCCTGGTGGAAATTTTTTTGTGAAATCCACGTCAATATTGGCGGAGATATCTGACCTCGGGGTGTGGAGTGACCTCCGCGTCGTTTCCCCCCCCCCCCCC